TATACTCCTTCTATTTTAAAATATAACTTGTTGACTTTTTCTACATGTAACTTTAGGTAACATCTTTTTTATAATATATTGAGTAGTTTTATTTGATCAACGAAAATTTTCAATTATCATTCATATATTAAAGCATTGAAAAAAAGCCAAACAATTTTATTTTAAAATTGAGAGAGTAAAAAAAATAATAATTACACTATAACATGTCTTTTATACACAAATTTGAAAAATATAAAAAAATTATTACTTCCTTCATTTAACTTTAGTAGTACTAATTTTATTTTTTAGTTTTTTAATATAAATGTCATATGAATCTAAATTTCATATGAAAATTTAATAATTTATATGAACAACAATTGAATTTTTTTTTCCATATATAGTTCTTAAAAAGTATTTTTATTTGATAAAAATATTTCAATTATTATTTGTATAATATATTAATTTTTCATATGAAATTCATGTTTGAAAAGTCAACAAATCAAATTATGATTATGTCCAAACCTTGGTGGCCTAATGACCACCCCCTTTGAATAGGTGTGGTGGACATAATGACTTATCTTCAAATTTCAGGTCCTACTCCTCTTTCCATATAAATTTCTCCTGTTTAAAAAAAATAAATAAATAAATTATGATTATTTTTTTTATTAGCACAAATTATGATTACTAAAGTTCAATGGAAGAATATGTATTAGACCACTAATCCCAACACTCCAATTTTATTTTTGGCACATTGATTATATAAAATAGAATAACTTCTTTTTTTTTTTAATTATTCCCTACCCAACTTAACGTTGAAACTTTAGATTTTTTACTTGAAATCTAACTTTTTAACCAGTTGGGTAACCTTCTTACCAACACTCCAAAATCTAGTGCTGCTTTCCCTTTTTTGTTAACCATGAAATGATCAAAGGTAACACAGATGACGGTCCATCAATGGCGGTTCCTGAAAACGAGACTGAAACCCAATAGTTTTGTGGATAGTTTGACTGTTACTTTCCTAGACCCAACTCCATTTCCAGAACCCAATGGTAAACAAAATATCAAACCATCAAAAGATCCCAACATCTGATTGTCTCATTTTTTTTCCATTTTGGAAAAGAAAAAAAATGAGCAAAATCCAACTTTTTGATGACATGAATGAGCTTCATTGTACAACGGAAGCCTCTCTTCTCCTCTCTCCCTTTCTACCACAGGTTGGATTTTGCTTAATGTTATTCTTATTTTCGTTTTTACACAATTATTGATGTTAATAATATGTTGAAGCAATTTGCATTTGCCTACTTTTCAATGTTTCTGGTGTTCTTAATGTTGTTTTCATTGCATGAACAAGTTGATGAATCCAAACAACGCTCATGTTATGTGAAAATTTTTAGTTGCATCAAGGGTTTGATGATTATTTAAGCTGGGTTGTATGAGGGGTATTATTTCATTTTTTCTTTTTATTTTTTCTCTTCTAATTTATTTGTTTTGTTTCCATTTTCTCATTTGGGTAATGTGAAGCAAAACACTTGACTTATTTCAATTTGGATGTTTTTGATTTAAAAACAGCAACTACATTTTTGGAAAAATTGTATGCCAGCTCTTTGGCTTCATGAAGTTTTTTTTCATGCACAAAAATTGAGATATAATATAATAGATTATATTAGAAATATAATCAATTATATTATATCTCAACTTTCTTGAAAAACTTTTTCTTTTGAGATTTTTTATCTAGAAAGTCAAATAATTAATTGTAAATGAAAAACAAGTATTATAACATTTGTAACTAGTTTTATACCTTCCATAATCAATTATATATCCAATGTTATCAACTACATTTCTATTATAATTAATTATATTACTCTCAATTTTTGTATCTAGAACATTAATTTCCTAAATCAAGCCATTCAACATTTTTGGTAGGCTTCCCCGATCGGAGAAATAGCAACCAAATAGCACCTTACCTTAGACCTTCAAGAATGCAAAATAATATGCTTGGAACAAGAATTATTTTTATGTCTGAAATTAGTTGTTTAGTACTGCAATTTGTAAGATTTAAAATTTATTAAAAACAATTTAGTTAAACTCTTGTTAGTTTTTTTTTTTTTTTTT